TTTGTTCACAACGTGGACCCCCCGTTCCCCCGGGACAGGCTTGTCGTCCGGAGTAGTTTTTGTGGACGGCCCCGGGGTCCGGCAAGGACCCCTGGAGGCCGAGCATCGGAAACAAAAAAAGCGTCCGTCGTTTTTTTCACGACGCGAGAGGGTCTGGGAGGATTGCCGAAGAAGAAGAAGAAGACTCGGCATACACATCAACTTTTGGAGCTCCGCGCGAATTTCGTGGATACGCGCTGGGCCCGGAGGCGCCGCACCTGGCGCGCTCTGCGCGCCAGGGAGGGGGGTCCAGCGCAGATACCAGAATTCCGCGCGGACATATGCAAGTTCATGTTCATGCCGTTTTCCCCATCGTTTTTTTTCTCACGACGCGAGAGGATCTGGGAGGATTGGGAGGAGGAGGAGGCGGAGGAGGAGGAAGAGTACGAGGAGGAGGCGGAGGAGGAGGAGGAGGAGGAGGAGGAGGAGGAAGAGGAGGAGGAGGAGAAGGAGAACACCAGGTCGTCGAAGATCGGGGGAGGGCCCTCCCCCGGCCGCGAGGTGACCCTGGTCGCGGGGCTTAGCGCCCTGGCGCTCGGCGTGTACAGCGCGCGCGCGGGCGTGAAGGTTCAGGAGGGAAAACGTACACAGACACACTGACACAAGCCCTCCTCCTCCTCCTCCTCCTCCTCCTCCTCCTCCTCGACTTCTTTCTCCTCCTCTCCTCCTCCTCCTCCTACTCCTCCTCCTCCTCCTCCTCCTCCTCCTCCTCCTCCTCCTCCTCCTCCTGCTCCTCCTCCTCGCCTCCTCACTGAAGAAGGAACCCTTTTCGTTGGGGAGGGGCTCGGTGTTCCTCAAGTGCTTCGCAGCTTGCCCCTCAGGTTTGCCTTAGGTATTCGATCGGAAGTCGAAATTTAGCCTATGGAAATAGGGGCCTCGTTCCTTATTTAGGGTTCCTTAGGTCAAGGCCCCGACTGTAGGGGAAGTGGGGGGGAAGGCGAAAATCCAGAAACTACGAATGATATAGGGCGTCTTGGGATTCGTGTGTACTTCTTGGTGTGTCCCTGGGCCCCACACACAGACATACTGAATCGCCGAGCCCCAAGAACATGTGGGAACATACAGTCGGCGCCCTGAAGAAGGAACCCTGGGGGGAAGACGAACATCCAGAAACCACGAATGAGAGATAGGGCGTCGTGGGATCCGTGCGCACTGCTTGGCGTGGCCCTTTGGCCCCCTCGGAGGTCGCCAGCACGGTGCTCGAGCGGAACCTGGGGCGCCCGCCGCTGGTGCGCGAGACGTCGCGGTGGGCCTGGAGGCCGCGGCCTCGCTCGGGGGCCGGGGATCGCGCTGCTCAGACCCCTCGCGTCGTGAGCAAGAGCGCGACGGGAGGTAACTTTTCTATATTTGTTCGGCCTCTCGCGATTTTCTATATTTTCTATATTTTCTAAATTTTTCGGGCGGTATTTTTCCTATATTTTCTATATTTGTTCGCGATGTTCGGCCTCCGGTGGCCCTTCCTGGGGGCCTCGGGGCCGTCAAGGAGCGCCTCGGGATGGAAAGCCGGTCCCGGGGACGGGGTCCAGAGAGTCCAGACCTCTCAGGAGGGGGAAAGCACACAGACACAATTAGTCGTCGATTCCCAAGAAAGTATGGGAAAATATGGGAAGTGGGGGGGGAAGGCAGAAACCCAGAACATATGGGAAAAGATGGGGACTCTTCTGATTTGTGTGTGTGTACTTGTTTGTGTGCCCCAGCTCCCCTTCGACCTCGGGGGGTCGACCTCGTGAGAACCTCGGGGCGTCGGGGGTGCGGGTCCCGCGTGTGCTGTGCCGGGGAGAGCGGTCTCGAGGTGCGAGGTGCTGCCCGGCGTTCTCCCCGGACGGTCGGCGGCCGCCTTGCCTTTGGGTCGGGGGTGGACAGAGCCCCCAACAGTGACGCGTCGATCAGTGAATTGTCCGCCTTCGGTTCTCGAGAGGGCGCCGTGGCCGCTATTTTCCAGGCTGGCGCCCGCCAGGTTTGGGCCTCAGGTAGGTCGTTTTCACCAGACCACGTTTTGCTAAAGGGAGGTCTGTCCATCCCCGATGGGCCCGTTTCCCACCACCACCACCACCACCATGAGTTGGAGGGGGGAAGGAGGTGGAGGAGGAGGAGGAGGAGGAGGAGGAGGAGGAGGAGGCGGATGAGGAGGAGGAGGTTCTGTCCATCCCCGATCGGGGTGCGGGCTGCGCCTCGCCGAGGGCGCTCCCATGAGGGGCCCGGCCGCGGGAAGGCCGGGAAGGCAACGGCAGGCAGGGGATCTGCAGGCCTCCCAGATGGGGTCCGAGCAGCTGGCGTCGGGGGTGGACAGACCTACCCTGATAAAGCGACGCGAAGGTCGGGACAAGATCGGATTGGGATAACTCGAAATCTCTGAGAATCGGCGGGTTTGGAGGATGTATTGGGCGCCGCGGCTGCTCCAGAGCGTTCCGAAACGCTCTGAGAGCGCTCCGGAACGCTCTGGAGCGATTTATCCCGATCCTAGCCTTGTTTTATGGGGTCCTAGCAGCTGGCGTCGGGGGTGGTCGGGGGCGGAAAAGAGGGGGGTGATGACTAGGGGGGGGGGGGGGGATTCATGGCGTGGGCCATGCCATGATAGTTCCCCAAGTTTCGTGGCTCCTTTCTTATTTCATTACGTCCCCTGGGCCCCCCGCTGGGCCCGCGCACATGCGCTGGTCCTGGATTTGCACCCCCCCTCTTTGTCTTCGTCCCCTCCTTTGCGCTACGAGGTGGACAGACCTACCCTGTACACGTCGATTAGTGACTTGTCCGTTTTCGGTGTCCCTTTCCAGGGTTGGGCCGTTCCTTTTCCAGGCTTGCGCCCGCCAGGTTTGGGCCTGAGGTCGTTTTCACTAGACCACGCTGTGCTAACGGGGGTCTGTCCATCCTCTGAAAGGCGTCGGGGGATCGCGCCGCACCGCCGAGCATCGCCCGATGCGGTCATCGATGTGGAGCCCGTGGGAAGCCGCCGAGAACGGCGATGCGGCGCGACCCTTCGACCCCAGCTGCTCGGACCCTATCTAGGAGCGTGCTTCTTTATCGCTTGGGGCACGATGGGCATTGTAGCCCCTGGCTCCCCCTCCCCCCCCCTATATATAACGCAACGCCCCTCTTCCCCCCAGTGCGCTCCGGGCGCTGCCGCCGTGCGCACGGCGGGGGGAGGCGTTACAGTATCCCCCCCCCGGCCTGGCCCCTCCCTCTCCCCCCCCCCCCGCCCCCCCTCCAAAAAATGCCCACGATCGCCGAGAATAAGGAAGCGCGCTCCAGGAGGCCCCTGGGGTGATGTCGGGCCTGTCCCCCTACAGGGGGATTGTCGACGAAAAATCAGACATACCCCCAAAATAGTAAAAAATAATCCAAAAATAGTCTGGGGACTATTTTTGGAGTAGTTTCTGACCTTTTCGGGGCATTTTTTGGTGTATTTTTTGTTTTTCGTCGAAAATCCCCCTGTAGGGGACACGCCCGACAGAACCCTGGGGGAGGGGACGGGCTCAGGGGAAGCGCGCTCCCCGGGATAGGCCACGGGGGCTCTCTCGCCGCGGCGGCCCGAGAGGCTCCCGCCCCGAGAGGGGCCCGGGCACCGGGCACCGTCGATGCCCATGGGGACTGCGACGGTGCCCCGCACTGCGCACCCTATAGGTGCCGCGGGTGGGGGCCGAAGCACCCATCACAGATGAAACACTGCCTGACAGAACTCTTGCTCTGGATCGTTCCACGCATCTCGCGTGGCAAGCCTCAAGCGGATTCGGGAGGAAACGTGTGGGAGAATGTACGGGAAGTGGGGGGGGGGAGAAGGCGAAGCTCCAGAACATCCGACAGAAGAGACGGGGAGTTCCGGGACTTAGTTCCGGGACTTGCGCGCATCTCTTTGTGTGCGATCCTGGGCCCCTTTCGGTGCTGGTTCCAGGGGCTCGACACGGTGGGCGCCTCGGGGTGAAGAAGTCGGCCCGCGCGCCAGCGGGTGCCCCACGGAGCTCGAGCCGGCGGGAGGTCTGGGGTGGCCCGGCACTGGCTCCGGCGAGCGGGAAGGGGACGAATGGATTCGAGGTCCTGGGCTCAGGGCGGTTTTGTCAGGGGAACGAATAATGCCATAAACATAAAAACTCGGAGGTCCGCGCGGATTTCTCGGATCCGCGTTGGGGCCCCCCGGCAGCGCCTCCGGCGCCGCCCCTGGCGCGCTCCGCGCGCCAGGGAGGGGGGTCCAGCGCGGATCCGAGAAATCCGCGCGGACCTCCGAGTTTTTATGTTTATGTCTCTTTTTGTTCCCTATTTGTTGTTTTGTTACACGTTCGATCATGGGCCCCTTGCTAACGCTAATAAGATTTGGCCTTCGCACCCATGACCGCCGAAGGCCGCCGAAGACCGTGTCGGCCGCCGTCCCGACCGCCGTCCCGACCGCCGCCCAGACCGACGCAAGACCGCCGAGGGACCGCCGAAAGAGCGCCGAAGACCGCCGAGGGACCGCCGAAGGACCGCTGGAGACCGTGTCGGGCTCCAGCGCCCGCAGCGGGGCGTGCGCTCACTGGCGGTCTTCGGCGGTCTTTCGGCGGTCTTCAGGGGCCCAGGTGCGCGGCGAGGAGTTTCATGGCCGAACGCGTAACCTTTGTCGGCCCCCGGGGTCCGGTGGACCGCGGAGTCTTTGGGCGCCCCAGCAGGCTGCGCGATGGGCAGGAGAGCGTGCGTGCCCAGATTTCCTGTTCCAAGGCCCCGTATCGCTCGCATCATGATGATGACGATGGCATCATCATCATCATCATCATCATCATCATCATCATCATCATCATCATCATCATCATCATCATCATCATCATTATCATCATCACCTTCACCATCACCATCATCATCATCATCATCATCATCAGCATCATCACCATCACCATTACCATCACCTTCACCATCACCATCATCACCATCATCACCTTCACCATCACCTTCACCACCACCATCACCGTCATCACCACCATCACCACCCTCACCACCCTCATTACAATCATCATCATCATCATCATCACCATCATCATCATTATCACCATCACCATCATCATCATCATCATCATCATCATCATCATCATCATCATCATCACCATCACCATCATCATCACCATCACCATCACCATGATCATCATCATCAGCATCAGCATCAGCATCAGCATCGTCGTCGTCATCGTCATCATCATCATCATCATCATCATCATCAGCAGCATCATCATCACCATCACCATCACCATGATCATCATCATCAGCATCAGCATCAGCATCGTCATTGTCATCGTCATCATCATCGTGTGCTTGCAGAAGAGAAGGGCGGCAGCAGAAACAGAAGCTTTCGGATCTCCGCTGGGAGCCCTCCTGGGTCTGCGCTGGGGGCGGGGCCCTCGGGGCGGTGCCTCCAGCGCCGGGGCTCCGCGCAGGGCTGAGAAGTCTGCGCGAGCCTCGAATGTTTGCCTGAGTCGGGCCTGTCCCTCTACAGGAGGAATAGTCAAAGATAGTCAGAAGAAGGGTCTGAGGAGGATTTTTCTTCTATTCTTGAACTTTTTTGGGGCTATTTTTAGTTTTCCTCCAAAATCCGCCTGTAGGGGGACACGCCCGACCTAAGTGTTTGCCTTCCCCCCCCTTCTGCAAGAGCAGGCCGCGGCTGGAGCAGTGGCCATGGGCGAGCAAGGACAAGCCGAAGATCTTCGAGTCCATCGTGCTGGAGGACACGCTGAAGGAGCGCCTGCAGTGGAGCACCAACGCGCTGGTCAGCGCGCAGCAGAACGGGACGCCCTTCCGGCACCTGCTGCTGCACGGCAAGCCGGGCACGGGCAAGACGCTCTTCGCCAGGACGCCAGGCCGCCCACGTGAGGTGTCCGAGCAGGAAGGGTCGGACGAGCGTGCCACACTGCCGATGCGGCCCGATTCGGAACCCGATCTTCTCCATCCTGGCGTCGCCGATGCATCGGCGATGCGGCACCATCCTCCGACCCCATGTGCTCGAACGTCCTCCGGGCGGCCTTTGAGGACGCTGGCGCGGGAGTCTGGCCTCGACTACGCCGTCATGTCTGGCGGCGACCTGGGGCCTCTCGGGCGGTGCTGGCTGACTGAAAGACCAGCGGCAGTCCGAAGCGGGTGGGGTTTTGCGCTGAGGGTGTCATGCCAGGAGGGTGTGAAGTATTCTCCCCACGTCATTTCCCATCGCCCCCCCCCCCCTCTTCAACTCAGCCACGTAACCCCTTTCCGACCACACCCTGCATCCCCAGCCAGCCAAGGCGGGAGGGACCCTCGGAGCTGCACAAGCTCTTCCACTGGGCCTCAAAGTCTCGCCGCGGGCTGGTTCTGTTCATCGACGAGGCGGACGCCTTCCTGAGACGGGGCCGGGGTGGGGACACCACCATGAGCGAAGACGCCCGGAATTGCTTGTCCGTTTTCCTCCACCACACCGGCACGGAGAACGCTCGGGTGGCTGTCATATTGGCAACCAACATCCCTAGCTCCCTGGACCGGGCCGTGTTGGACCGCATGGACGAGGCGTTCGAGTTCCCCATTCCGATGTACGATCAGCGTTTGGCGATGTTGCAAATGTTTGTGGACAGGTACCTGAACCAGCCCTTCAGGCGTGGCAAGAAGATCGAGGTCGATGCGAACGTGAACGACCCCGAGTACTTCGCCAAGATCGCCAGAGAAACCGAGGGGATGTCTGGGAGGCAACTGGCCAAACTGGTACTGGCGTTCCAGTCCGCCGTTTTTGGCTCTGGCACCATGCGCCTCACGCAAGGCCTTGCCGAGGCGGTGCTCCAGTGGAGGCTGGCAAACCCGAACGCGTAAAGAGAGGTGCGTCTTGAGGCTGCGCAGTCAGGCCTCTCCAGCGCACGCTGGCTGGGCCAGCGTACGCTGGCCAGGCCGCAGCCTCTTCCAAGCAGTCGCTGGCGTCTGACTGGTGGTCTGTTATACCGCGTGTGAGGGCTCACTTCTGCGACCATCGCACGATGCTCGCACGCACTCTTCCTCGCATCGTTGCGTGATACCGGACCCCGAACCAAAACCCCCCGGGTCGGTGTCGGGGGTCGCCGCGGCGATGGCGGCGGCCACAGCTCGGGGCAGAATTTTCGTCAGGGCGTGGCTTACGTTGCATCTTCGGGGGGCCTCGCCTGTCCCCAAAATTAGTGTCTTCTCTTGTGCCCGACGCGGGCTCGTTGCAGCCTCGACACGGATTTGGCGTGGATTCGACGCGGTTTCGACACGGATTCGACACGGATCCGACGAGGCCGACATGGATTCGACACGGATTCGACGCGGACAGGGCCGCGACGGGACAGACAAGGTCCCCCCGAGGATGCAACATAACGTGGCACGTCCCTTCCCAGCCTCCCCCCTTGAATGAACCATGTCAGAGTGAGGTGGCCGAACGGGCACTCACCGTCCCTGGGTGCGCGGCTGAAGTGGGACTCCGCGGAGGGGATTCTGCTTGTGGCTGCTGCTGCTGCTGTTGTTGCTGCTGCTGTTGTTGCTGCTGCTGCTGTTGTTGATGATGGTGTTGGTGTTGTTGTTGTTGTTGTTGTTGTTGTTGTTGTTGTTGTTGTTGGTGGTTTTTCTGTTGGTGTTGTTGCTGTTGTTGATGTTGCTGTTGTTTTTGTTGTTTGTTGTATTGAGCTCTGATTTCTTAAGAACATTAATCGTTCATCCCCCTCCAGTAACAATTCTATTTTTCGATTAAATGGCACTGCGTTTCTTTACAATGGAACGCGAGATGTCACCAAACTGAGCCCCTGGCCCTCGAGTTACACCAACAACTGCTCCCGCCTGAGACTTCCTCACAATGTATTTCAAATGCGCGCTCGCGCGCGGGACTTCCCCATGATTTATACAGGAATCGCGCGCTCGCGTTGGACGTCTTTACAATTTACTCCGGCGTCGCGCCTCCAGTTCTCAGAAATCACGCTGTCGCCCTGGCCTTTCTCGCGATGTACTTGGAAATCGCCGCGCGGCCGCCGCGAGCTCCGCTGCTGCGGCCCCGCCGCCGGCCGCGGCCGCCGTTGCCCCTGTCCCGCCGCCCGCGGCTGCTCCACCGGCGGTGCACGGTCTGCCTGCCGCCGCCGCGGCTCCCGCCGATCAGCCCCTGGCTGCCCCGCCAGCGGCCGCAGCTCCAGACTCGCAGGTTCCGCCGCCGCCCGCCCCTGCAGACGACGCCGCGGCCCCTCCACAACGGCGTGCCCGGCGCGCGCGGGTCGGCTGTCCTGTCCCGGGCTGCCCCCGCGCGGACCTTGCCTCCAGCGCTGGTTGGGCAGACCACGGGGCCATGCGCCCGCATCTTAATGAGCATGCGGCCGGCAGATTTCCGGGCCTGCCGCCGGTACCACAAGCATATTTGGACGAACGCAGCTTGTCACGATGCTCGGTTTGCCAGCGGTACCTCCACTCGCGCTACGGGCGCGTGTGTCCGCGGTGCCGCCCCGCTGCGCGAGCTGCTGCTGCCGAGGCCGCGCCGGCGGCTGACGACGGCGCCCCCCGGCCGCGCGGCTTGCCTACCTGGCAAGAGGTCTTTTCCCGACGAGCCAGCACAAAGCACTACGTGCCCAAGGGGGCGCGGGTCCTGTGGGCCCGCTGCCTGGCGCAGGCGGCGGCGCTCGCCGTGTACCGAAATACGGAGGAGGCGTGGCTCCAGTTTGCCATGCTGCCCAAGTGTGTCCTCCGCCCGCACACGCGCGGGGGCCGCGGCAGCAGGAGCGCGGCGGAAGCTCTGACCAAGAACATTTGCCAGCGCTGGCTGGAGGGAGAGCGCGCTTCGCTCTGGGCGGAGACCGCGGACAGGCGAGCCACTGCAAAACCCTCCCGCGCGGCTCAGAGAGCGCAGCGCTGCCTGGAACTCTCGGCGGACGCGCAGTACTCCAAGGGCTGCTCGGCGCTCACCAGCGAGCCCCCGGCGGAGGTCACCACAGCTGTGCTGGAGCAGATGCGTCAGAAGCACCCAAGCAGCCAGCGACCCGTGGACGCCGCCAGCCTCCCCGCGGTCAACGCGGCGGCGGTGCCGCAGCTAGACACCGCCTCGCTCGAGCGCGAGGTGCGGGCCTTCCCTCGGGGCTCCGCTCCGGGCCCCTCCGGCTTGCGGCCGCAACACCTCAAGGACGCGCTGCAGACGGCGGCCCACCGCGACGAGGTGCTGCAGCAGCTGCTCGGCCTCACCAACCTCTTCGCGAAGGGTCAAGCCCCCCCCGGTGTGGCGGACTACCTGGCTGGCGCCTCGCTGGTGGCCCTACCCAAGAAGGACGGCGGCCTTCGACCGGTGGCCGTGGGGGAGACCGTGCGGCGCCTGGTGGCGAAGTGCCTTTGCAGCCAAGTCTCTGACGCCGCCCGAGACCGCCTCGCCCCCCTGCAGGTAGGCGTCGCCCTCCCGGGCGGCTGCGAGGCCGCGGTTCACGTGTCCCGACAGTGGTTCGCGCGCCACGCTGGCAGCAGGCAGAAGGTGTTCGTTAAGCTTGACTTAAGCGACGCTTTCAACACCCTCGACCGCCAAGCCCTCCTGCAAGCGGTGCACGAGGAGCTGCCCGCTCTTGCGCCCTGGGCTTCCTGGTGCTACCGGGCCCCCTCCCTGCTCTGGCTCGGCCGGCACTCGATCCGCTCGGAATGCGGCGCGCAGCAGGGGGACCCACTGGGGCCGCCGCTCTTCTCCCTAGCGCTGCAGCGCGCTGCCGAGAGGGCTCTCCGCCAGCCCGCCCCCGCGGCCGCGGGCGCCCTGGACCTGACTTTCTTTTTCCTCGACGACGTCACCCTTGCGGGCGACTGGCAGGCCGTGGCGCGCCTGCTCCACCTGCCGGTGGGGGAGCTGGCGACCGTGGGACTCCGCCTGAGCACGGGGCCCGGGAAATGTGAAGTGGTCCCCACTAACGGTAACGACAGCGAGGTGGATCTGCAGGCCTTCCCCCCGGGCTTCCGCCTGCGCGCGGACGGCTGCTTCGAGCTCCTGGGCGCGCCAGTCGGCAGCGACGCCTTCTGCCTCGAGCACACCCGGCAGCGAGTCGACAAGGCCACCGAGCTCCTCGACGCACTCGGCGCCCTCGAGCACGCCCAGGTTGCGCTCCACCTGCTACGGCAGTGCGCCGGCTTCTGCAGACTCAGCTACTCGGCGCGGGTTGTCCCGCCCAATGTGCACGCGGAAGCGCTGGTCAAGCTGGACAACGCAGTGCGCGCCAGCCTCGAGCAGCTGAGCAGCAGCTCCCCCACGGACGACTCCTGGGCTCAGGCGCAGCTCGCCCTCAAGGCAGGCGGCCTGGGGCTGCGCTCGGCGGGGCGCCACGCGCCCGCCGCCTACTTGGCTTCCCGCGCGGCCTGCTCTGCGCTCTGCCAGCAGCTCTGGGCGGGCTACTCCGACGACGACACCGGCGCCGACGGCGCCCTGGGCGCTGCCGCAGCGGCCTACAACGCCCGGTTAACACTGGCAGATCGGATCGCTTTCGACGCCAGCCAGCACGGCAACCAGCGGGGGCTCTCTGACCGGCTGGACCAGGCCGCCAAGGCCGAACTCTGGGAACGCGCTTGCCCCGCCACCAGGGCCCACCTCTCGCTTGTCAGTGCCCCTGGCGCCAGCGGCTGGCTGCAGGTGCGGCCCTGTGCTGAGGTTGGCACGGAGTTCCCGCGCGGCTTGATGCAGATTGCTCTGCAGAGGCGCTTGCGGGTGCAGCTGGCGGGCGCAGAGACCTTCTGCCCGTCTTGCGACGGCATCCTCGACGTCTACGGCGACCACGCGCTGGTCTGTCCTTGCCGAGGGGACCGAGTCAAGCGGCACAACGCCTTACGAGACCAGGCTTTCTTCGCCGCGCAAGCCGCGGGGTTCCCAGGCTCCGAGCTCGAACGGCCTGGCCTTCTGCAGCCTCGCGCGAGCGGCGAGGGCCCGCCTGGGACGGAAGAGAACGGCGGCGAGCTCGACGACGGCGGCCGACGCCCGGCGGATGTGTATATTCCCCGTTGGCGTAACGGCGCCCCGGCCGCCCTTGACTTCGCGGTCACCTCGGGGCTGCGGGGCGACCTGCTCGCCGCCTCGGCTGCCGCGCCTGGCGCCGCGGCCGAGCGCTACGAGGAGCAAAAACGCCTCTTCCTCAACACGAGCGCAGCTGCGCCGCCGCTGGGATCACCTTCATTCCCATGGTGGTCGAGGCGCACGGCGGCGGCTGGGGCAAGGAGGCGCGACGCGCCCTGGCCGTCCTGGCCAAGCGCGCGGCAGACGCCACGGGGGACGACCCCTCGCAGGTGGCGGCGGAGCACGCCCAGCGACTTTCGCATCTCCTCCAAAGGGAGAACGCGCGGGCCGTGCTCCGCAGGCTACAGGCGCCGGTCGGGGCGCCCGCGGCCAGGTTTGCGGCGGCCACGGCGGCCAACGCGGCCGACGCCGCCTGAGCCGCCGGCCCACTCCCCCTCCCCTGACTACGACCACCGCCCCCGGCCCGCCCCAACGACCGCGACCGCCCCCGACGCCCTGCCCTGACTTGACCACGACCGCCCTGACGACTGCGACCGCCCCCGACGACCACGACAGCCCCCGACGACCAACGCGCCCGACGCCCTGCCCTGACCACGACCGCCCCGACGACCACGACCCTCCCCGACGACCGCGACCGCCCCCGACGCCCAACGCCCTCGACACCCTGCCCTGACCACGACCGCCCCCTCCCCCGTCCACGACGACGACCTCCTCCGTCCGCCCCCTCGTTCCTGCTTGCTCTGCGCTGCCTCTGCCGTTCCCCTCCCTCCTCATGTCCTGTTCGGCGTTCGTTCGCAATGCTTTTTCTTCTTGCCCCTCCTCCTCCTCCTCCTCCTCCTCCTCCTCCTCCTCC